AGAGGCATTTCCAACCTGCATTATGCTTAATGGGAGGTGGAGAGGCCAGCAGGCTTATGGATACAGCAGAAGGTATCAGGACCGAAATGCCAATTGAAAAAACATTTTTCATATTGCAAGTTCAAACTTCATGAGCTTCATGAATAAAACAGACTGCACTGACTGAACCCAAGATTCTAATGCACGGTCATCTTAAAGAACAAGGCCTAGAAGATGAATAATGATCCCTTTTACAGCTTTGGATGCTCTTTGACACTGATATCAGAAAACAAAGCACAAGATAATAAAGATATATATTTTTTTTAGAACAACATGGGTTTGAATCCTGCTTGTTTTCTAAGAATGTAACTTGTGACCTGAATCAGATCTAAAGGCGTTTTTATACCAATGCGAAGAGTCCGACTGCGTCCTTGATCTGTGTTTTTGGCTTTGGTGTGATTAATCGTACAAATGGGGATAACGGTGCAAAATTTGGGACAGTCTCTCCTCAAGACCAATCATGGTGTTGCACTACTCAGTTTTACACAAAATATAACGACGTTTAAGAAGATCATTTGACACCTCCAGACACTTTACCAACAAAAATTATCAGAAAACTTTACTGGAAGCTGTTAAGGTGCTTTCAGACAGAAAGTGGTTGTCGCCAACGCCTCAATTCTTTTTATTGTAAACACGGCGGCAGCAGCGAGGCGAGGGAGGGCAGCTACTCTAGTGAACGTCCAGCGCTATTTGGTGGTGCATTAGGAGTTCATGACAGTTCAGCTTTTTCAACTTGCTGCCACAGCATGCCGTGTTACCGTGGCAACCATAGAAAATACAGTGAGTGAAACAATCCAAGAGCTGATTTTTCTCTGACTTTCCCAGACTTATCATAGACCTCGTCACCGGCAGAGAACAGACAGATCAATGAGGAGAAACTGTATTGGAGCAACATCAGGTTTAATGTCTGATAATCTGGGGTAAAGGTGTAACAAGTCTCCAAAATCCACGGTTCAGTTCAGACCTCTGAATCTTTGAACCACAGTCTCATTATTCATTATTTTTTGTTGTATTTTTTATCTAATTTATTTGTTTTGTCACAAGCATCCATGATTGACCGGTATCATCCTTGAGTTCAGAATCGTTACACTCCTAGGTCAGGGACAGAAGTGACTGAACCACATTAAAAATAGGTATCAGTATCAGAATCACTTCGAGGAGACAAAATATTGGATTGGTGAATCCCTACTTAAAGAGTAGGATCTGGATTTAACTACATTCCTCTCACTCCTGTCAACTTTTGTCTGAGACAGCCCAAAATCACACAGTCTATAGCGGCCTCAAAGCTAACAGTCCATTAAATAAATGAACAATAAGCATTTCATTACGACATAAATCTAATAATTGTACAAGGATTAGATTAACATGACTATGAATAATTCACCTCTTTGTTTTTTTTGTGTTACAGCTCAAAGTGTTGGGAGGAGTATGTTAGTGTGTAATAAGAAATCACACAGATCGACTGGAACGCATTGTTGCCATTCCCAACACTCGCTCTGTATTAGACCGGCTACACAAGTCTTGGATTGGACAACGTCTGTGTTCAGGGCCAGTCCGTTTTCACACTGAAGTCTGCCAGAAAATAGGTTCGTTTTTATCAAGGCACAAATCTTTTCTCTCTCTCTTTCTCTCATCCTTCTCTTCCTCTTGCTCTCAGAGAGCTAATTATTTCTCCCCCCGTTTAGAGCCAACTGTTTCTGTCATCTGTCTCTGTAATGACCTCTGCATGCATGCATGCATGCACACACTCTCACTCTTTCTCCTTCACACACACACACACACATACATTTACACAGAACCCTCACTAACACTCAGACACACCTTTGTAGAGAAACCACAGATGTACATACAACATGTATGCTCATGCAACAGATCTGTCTATTAAAAAGGATGCCACTGGCTTAAGTGCAGTTACTGATGTGTGCTGAAATGACTGGTTGATCAAACATTTATGACCGAAATGATCATTTAGTGAACCGGTCAATCATCAGAATTTTTTTTTCAAGATATAATATTGTGTAACAAATATCTTTGGGTTTTTGAAGCAATATGTGGATGCTAGCACTATATAGTATGCATATTTTGTATATTGAACAATTAAATAATTTACGACTGCAACAATTATTTCCATCAATAATTATTTGGTTGTTTTTTTTTTTTGATTAAGCATTTGGTCGATAAAATGTATTTAAAAAAAAAAGTTGAAAAAAATTCCTAAATGTTAAGGTGACGTCTTTTCAGTCCTTTCATCTTACTCCTTTTGTCCAAGTGAAATATTCAATTAACAGTGAAACTAATCAGAGAAATGCAGAAAATCCTCTCAGGCTGGAAACAGTAAATACTTAATGATTAACTGATTATCAACACTTTTGGTGACACATTGTTTCACATCCAATTTCTTACTACATTGATTAACAGAAAGAATATTTGTCATATTAATTGATAATGAAAATACTCTTTAGTTGCAGCTCTATCCCCATGCCTGGTATCCAGTGCTCACATACACACCATACATATACACTCCAGAATACCAAACACCAAAACCCTGAGGCTGTCTTAAATCTAAAAACCAAACAAAAATAGAATAAACTAGTTTTTTTCAAATTTAAAAGTAAACTAAATCAAAATAAAAGAACTAAGCACAACCAAATGAATTTGCACGTAATGGCAACCTCGGCTCATCTTTCTTCAGGACTAGAAATTAAACGTATGAATGGGTAAAAAAAATAGTGAGAAAAGTTTTCAAGTAATTCAAGGTAACAAAAATTCTCCATTTGTAAATTTTATATTTGTCAGTTAAATTCTTTAGTTTTCTGATTATTTTTGTGATTTTAATGCAATTTCAGGTTTCCTAAATGTATTTAATTGTCTGATATTTGACAGTTATTGGTCAATACAAATCAACTGAGACTTCTTCAGCCCTTTGTCTTAAAATCTACATTCATGAGGGATTCATTGAAAAAGAAGGGGTGTGTCTCAACACACTGGTTTTAGGACTGACAGCAAACCATTGACATGAAGAGGTTGAAGTTCGGCAACAATATTAGATTCAGTCTGAATATTACAATGCATGACCAAACACTGCAAAGTTAAGTCAGAACCTCCACAGATGGTTGGTAATATTAACAATCTGCTCTTCTTGATTGGGACTGATGAGAACAATATGGCCTATGTGACACTTTCAAGATGAATATTGAATATTAGATCCTTTTTATAAAAGATTTTAAAATGGCCTTGAGATGCAACTGCCACATTCCCTGGGTTGGCAACAGTGGGACAATTCTTTATTTGAAATTGTCCTGATAAAGGGATCTGTGGCCTGAATCCATGCAGCCAGCCTTAAAGGTTCATATAGTATAAAAAGGTAGATGTCCATGTGTTATTTTATTATAAAGCAGGACTAGGTTCTATATCATTACTGTGAAAGTATCAAAGTGCTCAGTCCACAGAGAATGCACACAGCCTGTATTCATAAACTGAGCCTTAAAACAAGCCGTCAGGACACTTGCAACTTTGTGATGTCACAACAAAGCAGTCACAAGCCCTCAGCCACGCCCACCTGGACCCACCATCCAACCTTTCAGGATTTGGTTTCTCTGAGTGTTTACCTGAAAACTGCTATATTTTTATTGGATCACTCAGAAAACCGTCAGCCAATCAGAAGAGAGGCTCAGAAAACTGCAAAACTGAAAGCAAACTATAAAATGCGACTGAAAGCTCAGGGAAAGGCTTTTAAATGGACTTTTGTTTAGTTTTTTTTTATTTTGTTTTGGTCAAACTAATGTATATTTTCAAAATCTAAATCTCTTTTGTACACACATGGTCTTGATGACTACATTGATATATGCTTGTTCATAATACGTAACCTTACACTATGGGAGAGTGGTGGGTTTATTATGTACTCTCTGATCATAAGAGAAAACTCCACTCTATAGCTACATTAGCAAGAAATATGGACCACCATTTAAACTTCATTTGTATCTTTTGATCAGTAACTAAAAATGCATTTTTAACCCAGCTTCAAATTGATAATAATTTTAATTCATTCAAAGTACATAGAATATTTTTGTTTTACTTATGTTTGCTTTTTCAGTTTACCTATATTAGCATTTTAAAATTCCAACGTCTGGTGTGATCTTGTCCATTGCTATAATTACTGAGCCCAGCAGATGTAGCATCATGTATCTCATTCAGTAGACAGCAGGATATTTGCACAACACTATTATCAAAAAATTATCATTATTATCAAAAAACAAAACGATAAACAGGCAAACAAACTACAAACCACCGCTATGAAATAAATGAGCCGGAATAAAGGGCTGTCTCCTGTCTCCTGTTAGAAAACTTCCCTTACACCCAGCTTTAAATGTGTTACCTGTCATGAACTGTTTGTCTTACCTGGTTGTCAAATTTCAGAGACTGTGTGCCCACGAGGAAACGAATGGCATCAGTTTCAGCTGTCTGGGCAGTAAGTGCCCGTGCCTGCAAAATAGATACAAAGGAACATTACTGTCCATTCACATAAACACGTTTTAATGAACACAAAAGAACAGACTAGAATAGAGCTAACGTTAGCTGTCAGCCAGGGAAATAGTATTGAATGGTTTGAAAGTGTAGCATCAATACGTACCTGAAATTCGAGACCATAAATAACAGGAGCGTCATCCTCCATTTTCAGTTTGTTAACAGGGTTTACGTTTTCTTGTCCCTTTTTAAAACGACGTGAATTATGTTGAAACTATCATAAGTAATTGTGCTACTGTGTGCGGACTGTACAAAACACAACACAGTAGCCGTACTTCCGCGATTTAAAAACTGGGGAAAAAAAAAACGTGTGACTATTATACGTAACGACAGTCCTGCAACGTTATATAGGCTAGTAAAAGTACGTAGAAGACGCCAAGAATACCAAAAGCCGCGGTGGTGTGAAATTTGTCCGCCGTGGAGCACCGTACATGTAGCTTTCCTGTGGAACCCTATGCTGGAATCCCTAGCTGTCAGTCTGGAGTAAGGTAAGAAACATAGTCGTGTTTGTGTTTAAGTTCTTTATTTGTCTGTCATTGCGTAGTGGTATGAACAGCACGGTAGTCATGTTCGTTGATTTTTAAAGCTTGGCCAGCTATTAGTGAAGTGTGTATTTGACATTTACAACCAGCTGCTCAGCTAATTTAGCTTACTGTAGCAGCCCATCGGCTAATGTAGCATTAGCAAGATAGCTTGCATCAAACAGACAACAATCCCCGAGATCCTGATTAACGGCTCTTTCGTGATAGGATTTTAAGCAAACTGACTCGTTCACGGTAGCCGTAGCTCGGTGCTGACGGTAAGAGCTTGTAAAAATTAGCGTTTGTTTACACAGACAGGAAGTGACAAAGACAGATGCTGTATAGTGATTTGCAAGAATATAGGTGGTAACGTCTATATCTGTGTTTTCATTGTGCAGAGGAGTAAGATGGATAGTGGGGAGGCTCCTGCTCAGCGGCCAGTCACCTTGGACATCACAGTGGAGGATGTAAACAAGGACACTCCAGCTCCCCTGGAGCCAACCTCCGGTCAGACCCCTTCCAGAGACAACATCCTACCCCAGGAAGACAGCATTGACTTAGGCGGGGAGTTTGCCACCCCACAGGAGGACAGCAATGCCACACCATCAGAAAGCCTGATGGACAAGCTCAACGACCAGATGATGGAGAGCGTCATGATTTCTGACTCACCCAATAACAGTGAGGAGAATGATGTGGCTCCCATTGACTCTTTTCTGGATGGAGTGGAGGAGGAGGAGGAGGATGCAGGAGAGACCTCAGGAGACAAAGAGGAACAAAGTGACACTGCACTAAATACAACTGAAATTAAAGTTTCAGTGGAGGAACAGGTGAAAGATGGTTCTGAAGAGGAAGTAGAAGAGGACACAAAGAAGCAGACAGACACACAAGAGCAAGTCACAACCGATGCTTCACCCCCAGGTGACACACAGAGTCCATCTGGTCTTGAAAGTGAGGAACCAGCACCACAGGCAGTCAGAGGGACTAGTCTGAAAGTCGAGCCTGTACCAGTGTGCACCATATTCAGCCATGGAAGCCAGCCAAAGTCTTTGGTTCCTGACGGCTTCCAGCCTACTCTCATCAAGTCCCCCAGCTTTAGCATGGGGAGCGGTGGGGTAAGCGATGAGGCAGTGACCCCCAGCAAGCTGACAGCCCCCCTTGTGTGCCAGCCCAGCCCCAGCCTCAGTAAGTTCTTCACTGACAATGGACAGGCCAATCCAGCTTCTGACTTCTTTGATTCCTTTACTGTCCCCTCCTCCTTCATCTCCGTTTCAAACCCCAATGCAGAGATCACTCCAGGCAGCCCTGCGCCCATAGCCCCCACCCCTGACTGCCAGCTCTCTTCCACTTCTTCATCCATCTCCACCTCCGGGGGGCCTTTGGACTCTAGTACTCTCACCCATAGCACAGTGTTTTGCCCTGGCCCTACCGACACAACAACCACTAACACCCAACCTCCTCCACCCCAAATAGTCCCAGCTCCTACTCAAGCTCCCACTACAGCCCCTGCCACTCAGCCGCAGCCCTTCAACCAGCTCCAAGCTGTATTCTCTGGCAACGACGATCCGTTTGCGACAGCGTTGAGCCTGAGTGAGGTGGACAGGCGCCATGATGCCTGGCTGCCATCTGAGGAGACCAGGAAGGTGTTGATCTCTGTGGCCACCCAGCAATACAGCCCAGCCTACACAGAGACCAACAGACTTACTATGCCTGGTCTCAAGTTCGACAACCTGCAGGTAAGACAAGCACTGCTCATTATACATGTGTCTTAAGAAAGCCCTGAGAGAAAGTTCTCATTTTATAGTATGTCAGTTTGCCTTTTTGTAAATGGGCACTACACTAATTTTACACTTGAAGTTTACTTTACTCATCATGGGTATTACAACTCAGCCTGTGAAAACAGTTGTATCATTTCCTCTGTGACCTACAGAGAGCTCTTTAAAACCACCCTAAATCACTGTAGTAGTCCTTTTACTAAATGTGAATGCATATATTTACTAAGACAGTTATTCAATGTATTGTTGATTATAAATGTTTACAGTCTCTGACAAAATGTGATCTGAAACAGAAATTGTTATCATTACTATGTTATTTTTTTATTTAGGGCAGCAACAAATGAATTTATATACATACATATATTACACTGTGTATATAAGCAGCAAATTGTTACGTTTAAGAAGCTCAAACCTAAGAATATTTGCAATTTTTGCTTGATTAAACAACTATATCAGTTATTAAAATTTTGGCTGATTAATTTTCTGAAGATCGCCTAATCAACTAATAGATGAATTGTCTCACCTAGTATTAGTAGGTCTGGTCAAAACACTCAGCTCTAGCATCTCAGTTTGGACACATTCTCTATGCAAAACTGCTTGAACCCTTATAATATGTTGACAGCATTCAGTCTGTTATGGCAAGAAATTTATTAGCCTTGCCTTTATTAGCCTATGCTCTACCTGATGATCTTGATTTATTTTACACATTTGAACGATCTGTGTTCTTTTGTCTGTCACACAAAGACAGTGGTTTCAGGCAGCATCTCTTGCACAACACATTGTGTGGAGACAGTGAACACACATACACGTGGCTTTCCACGCTCCTCCATATCATGTTTTTTTTCTCCTAAACATCCTCTGAGCTCTTTCAACAGCCACATTTTTCTGTAATAACTACCCTGATGAAGCAACAATTTACTTATTTATTCAAGCTGAATTTTATGTTGTGCGTCCACCTTCCAGCTCAGATTGTGTTCATTATCCCCTCAGAATGTGTTTGAATGCCTGCTTGAATAAATGAATAAAAGTCACGTATTTTTCCGTCATCTTGGTTTTTGCCCACTAACAACCAGTCTTCAACAAACAAATTAGAGCCACTCCAAAGCTGAATTAAAGATAGCGTTTTATGTCGTGTGTTTTTTGTGCCATTCCTCTTAGGGCTGGTTATTGTGTTTATTATCTGTGATTCTGTCCAAACTTGGGGATGTCCAGATTAAAGTTTTTTTCTGTCCCCAATCCATTTTATTTAATGCAGAGGAACTACCAATAACAAGTCATGTTCTTCTGATATTTTGAAATCTTGCTGTTAGTACACAGGTTCTGAATGTAAATACAGCATTACAACTCTGAAGGCTCTTGATGTGAAATTCTGTTGTGTCCTGTTGAATTCAAATGTGTTTTCATGCAGGGGGATGCTGTGAAAGACCTAATGCTTCGTTTCCTGGGAGAGCAGGCAGCCATGAAGCGTCAAGTTCTCACTGCCAACTCCGTGGAGCAGTCCTTCACAGGCCTCAAACAGCTCGTCGTAAGTCATTCACCCTACTTTTTTTATTCATTGTGACATCAAAACCTGATGTTGTAGTATAGTCATCATTTAAGCTTTGTTGCTCATTTTTACGCATTTGTTTTTTTATGTGTATTTGTATATAAGATTTGCATGCAGTTGAAACAACCTGCTAGCTTCGCAGTTTATTCTTGACCTTGGAAATGGCTGTTGACAAATAACTCACACCTCAAAGTTCACTTACTTGCTTGAGCTTGGGACTTTGTTACACTGTCTTCATCAGGAGACAAATTTTGCTTAGTTGACATTTGAAAACATTTCTGTGATTCTCAACATCTACGGTTCAATGACAACTGAACCCCAAGTCCTCCAACCTGAACAACCATATAGGTCATGTACGTACCGTTGCCATGGTTACTGTAATAACAGTCATGGCATGGTTAGGTTTAGGCACAAAAACTACTTGGTTATGTTTAGATCGTGATTCAGGTTAAAAGCAGTGCTTCCTCAACATTACACAGTCTTTTTGCTGTCATGGTTACAATAATATCAATGTGGTTAACTTTGTCGAACGCTCATGGGTAATAGAAACAACATAAACAGCTGGTTTCACATGGGAATCCTGTCTCATATTCATCCATCCACAACAACCTGGACTTTGTCTCTCTTTTTACTACGTCACCGCACTTTCCCCTTTGCTCCTGTCATAATTACTACAACCACTAGATGTTACCTAGCAACAAAACGTAACGATGGGACATAATAACCTGCTGCACAGACGACCTGTGGGCTCGTTTTTTACAGGAGGATAGTCTCCAACTGAGCTATCTTTATCTCCCAATGAAGACCATGTAATATGGTTGGAAGATCCAGGTGGCCCTTGAGAGGAGATTGTTTTGTCTCCAACTTCCTAGCATGTTTAAGTTAAATCATATAATAATATGATATTTCATACCACAAGCAATTTTATTTAATTCACACACAAAGAAGATACAATAAAAATACAAATCTGCCATACGGCTTCAAGGTTTTTACACCACAACTTTGACAGTGTTCACATTCCCCACCATACATGCAAACATTACACACATTCATACTGTGTTCAGTGGACTAAAACAAAGCCTGCCCCAAAACACTAACTTCATGTTGATCTGTATGTGCAGCCAGTCTACAGTGTACCTGAGCGGAGGCAATGAAAAATATACCATTTCTCATAATTCTAGGTAATGGGAGTCATGAGTAATAATTTTGCCTATTTTTAAAAGGTAAAAAATATTTATACATAAGAAAAAGCAGGCAATCCAAGCATATTACAAAATGAAATAATATTTGAAGCAACCCACAGCTCAGATTCAAATTGGAAGAGTTCCATTTCAGGTGCAAGCCCCAGGCAGCTACAAACCTAAATTGTCAGATTTTGAACCTATATTTATAAAAGAGGTTACACTTGGGGCATTTTTAAATCTTGTGTCATGCTACTCAACAACTCTAACAGCTAAAAAGCATCGCTCTCGTGCTTGTGCATGTGCAGCAGGTGCTTTCTAAGAACAGTACATCATTTTCTTGAGGTAAATGACAAAACCGCTGGTAGATTACTACAGCACTAGCTTCCTGTGGTGTCTGCAGCTTGTCTGACCTTTTGACAGTCAGTGATTGCACTGAAACTGCTGCGTGGTTAGGCCTGACTGAAAACAGTGAATCATTTGTCTCATTTCTCCCCATATTTTATTTCTTCTCATACCGAGCTTCTGTCTTTGTGACCGTACAGTCTCATCTCATTCCCTCTCCTGCTGCTATTTATCTCTGCAGCCCTCATGTGTTCCCTCCATCATAATTTCTGACCCACAAATGACCCTGAGAGACAGTTGTTATTTAAAACATATACACAGCAGCAGCAGACAGTGTGATGGAGAGAGGGGAAAGAGGAGAGGAGGGGTGGAGTGGAGAGGTGGCGATCCACTCGGCTCACAAGTTCTTTTCTCCTGCTGTGCCCATGTATTATGCATGGGATTGCTGTGCATATTTCAAGGGCCTTCTGGACTTGGTGTATATACACACACAAGATGGTACTTTCAGCTTGCCTTCAACTGCACTATATGGTGTGTGTGTGTGTGTGTGTGTGTGTGTGTGTGTGTGTGTGTGTGTGTGCGCGTGTGTGTGCGCGTGTGTGTGTGTGTGCGTTTGTGCGTGCGCGTGTGTGCGCGTGCACGTACATGTGTCTGCATGTGCTTGTGTAAGAGGATCACACACTGTCTGCCAATTGGTGTGGGTGGCTCCCTGGAGCAAAAGGCAAGAGAAAGGAGAAAGACGGTGAGCCAGAAAGGTAACATAGGCCTACAGGAGAGATGTCACGGAATGACAGGCAAAAAAAGAAAGAGAAAGCAACGTTGTGTGAGTGAGAGATATGGAGGCAGAGGAGGGCTTCACCCGGCCCTAAGCACACACACAGGCACACTTTCGGCTGTGTGTGGGAACTTCTAGGCACCTCGTGATTAGATTTCCTGATTATTTGAAGTAAATTAATATGAACATCGGCAGAGGAATCACAAAATAAAAAAGGAGCCTAATTTCAGAACTAAATTCAATTTAGTTTATCTTTCGATTACAACTTAGTTATTTCTAGTAAGTTATCAAGGCATTTAGTTGGGAATCACTTAATAAGAAACCTAATTATACAAAATGCAACAGCAGCAACCTGCTGTTTCTCCTCCAGCTACAGGTGGAAACGGAAATTTTTTGCTTGTATGTGGTTCGGAAACACTTGGTCGGCCCATTTTATCGGCACCTTTTTAAAGCTGAGAAATAAACTTGTCTTTGCTCTCTGACAACGATATATTATTTGTCATTCATCTACTGTATTTTTTTATTTTTTATTATTATGTTTTGGCTACTTACCGGTAGACATAAACTTATTCGATACATCTGCAAGCTTATATCAGCTGATATATTAGTTGGGCGGATTAATTGGTCTAGCTCTACGTCCATGTGTTTTTACAGCAGGAGATGCAGATCAAATTCTTCTTTCTTACTCCAGCATACTGACCAAAAAATAGTTGTTTTGCACCTGTTTTACATTTCATCATTTGAAAATAAATTGTTTGAAATAATCATAACATTGATTTGAAGTTGTCTCGCTAGTCCTAATATAAACCTGTCTTGCCTATCTCCTGTACTGTTGTGCTAAGACACAAATGATGCTGTCATTCTGTACATTCATTAAAAACACATCTTTTTCTACCAATCTGTTTATTGACACACAAAAATGATAGGGAAATGATTATTAGTTATTAGTGTGCATTTTTGTGCATATTGATAAGTTAGAGTTAGATGATGAAATGCAAGGACTGCTGCCACCCAAGATGAGATGATCTGCCTCCTAATTACTAAGGACCTAGTACAAAGGGAAAAACAACAAGGCAGTTACATTATCCAGTAGCAACAAAAACAGTTTCCTCCACTGAGGTTTATTTCACATGAAAAATAAAACTAAATCTAAACTAACTATACAAATGGACAGAAAACAAGGAGTTTTGTGGTCCCCCCAGTCCTATATCCACAAGAAAAAAAACAGCATTTTTCTGCATCAGAAACCAGAGCTTTTCCTCCCTTTGGATTTATATTCATGTACAGAATACAGGAACAAAGGCGAACGCCCGCTCACAAAAAATAGCTTAGTATTGCTGATGTCTTAACTTAATTTCCTTGAAGTGATAGCGATTATTTGACATGGGGTTGTGCGAGGTACTTATACTTAGTCAGTGTATTACCTGCAGTAGATCTGGATCGGCGCACAGTTTAGCGAAGCAGCAGGAGCCCCAGCACAGAAGCTGAGCAATGTCCTGCTGAGGACAGGGCCTTCTGCAAAAACACGCTGATCTGAATCTACTGCAGGTAATACACTGACTATAAGTACCTCACACAACCCTACGTCAAATAACCCAAATGATCTTAACTTCCCACCCCTAGAACATTTATCTACGTCCCTTTACGACAGAATTGAGAATCGCAAAGGAAGACCTACGACTTGCAAAACAACAATAAGAAACACAAAACCAAAGACAGTGATTTTTCAATACAAATTTCTGTGTTGTATTTTTGAATGATTGTAATTTTGGGTTGCACTTCTTGTTGGCTGGTTTACAACTCAATATTTCTTTGTTCTTTCTTTGTTTTTATTAATGGACAAATTTAACCACATAGCTAGCTAATGTTGGCTACCTGGCAGGGACAGACTGAATGAAGTATAATCTACACACTGTTCAGGCCTCTCATCTCGTACTCAGAAGTAATATCTCTTCAGTAAACCGAGAGCTCATATCAGTATGCAGTCCTTTTTCAGTCTATCCCTCTTGTTGATGCAATCTTTAGATTCACTACGAGATAGCCAGTCAGCTAACCCTCCTGAGTCATGACATTACTGAAACTGCGGCAAATCCGTAGAGACTGTAACTGTTAACATAGCATTTTATGGTACTGTCTTGACTCATTAGCTCATTAAGCAGCTATCATCTGCGTTATTTTTGAATTTAGAATAACCTTTTTGCGCATGTTGTTATTAACTTAGTTTCCTCAAACTAGACATTTTACACATCATGCAGGTCTAACAGAAAAACTTTTAAGTTGCCACTGCATGCACATCACGTTTAGCCCAGATGTACTTGTTTACTGAGAAAAGGATCAAATGCAAAGCTTGATTGAAGGAATTAAATTTTTTTTTTTTTTTTTTTTTTTTGGGGGGGGGGGGTCTGGTTAAGTTGCTGATTATTTTCTCAGTTAAGCAATCAATAACTTAGTTTGGAAAAAAAAGGGGGGGGGGAAATGGCAGTCACACTTTACTTAGTGCCCACGATAACGCCTTTAATTGTTGTTGTTTTGTCCAACCAACAATCCTCGGACCAAAAGACATTAAACTGACTCTTGCTTAAAAAAAACTAAACACTTAAACATTTGAGAAGCTGGAACCAATTACTTAATTACCAAAGTAAAAGTATTGGAGCCCTTAAACCTCATTGACCCAGTGC